TTTGGTTCGTGTCTACGTTTTTTTTTTTTGCTGTTAAGTTGATCTCGGTGGTGACGAAGTGCAAGAAACAAGAAAACGAACTACGCTGCTGTATGAATGAACCAAAAAAGATGTGTTAATTTAAGTTCTGATCATCTTCAATCAATTTACTCATACTTGGTATATATCATGAATTGTGCTCGTACACATGTATTTTAGATGCCTTCATTGTTCATGGATAATGTAATTTTGTTCCTATGGTGATTGTGTGGTGTGGGTTCAAAAAAATTGTGTTTTCCTGTGTTATGTATCTATGTTTTGCAAGTGTAGATAGACTTCTAGGAATCATGTCGAGGTCGATGCTGATAATTCTACTGCTGATGGTATTGGTCATCACGTCCCAATTTGAGTGGAGGCAACAGTTTGGGAGTGACATGGATACAAATCCAAGGGATCCTCAAAAGCAGCTCACAGTCTCGAAAAGAGAGGAAGAAGTTAAAGAGAAGGTGAATCTAAGCTTTCTGTGGAACTTACTTATCGTGGCTTTGACTAATTCACTTATGGGAAATTATGTCGATACCTGGATTGTTGCATGAAATTCCGGAATTGTGCATTCGCCATTGGTTGGTACGCCAGTTGCAGGCATTGCATGTGTTATATTTGACTCTTTGTTCTTATATAAACTTGTTATAGTGCGAGTAGAATCTTATGTCGGCAACGTTTGAGACGATTGGTTAAGATTTTTCAAGCAAGTTTTTTCTTAATGTTTTACCCTTCATTGTTCTGCATACAATTTTGATGAGATTTTACTTTATGCAAGTTGAAAGCAGGAGGCTGCCTTTGATCATGAAAGGTCAAAATAATCAGTTTTGGCTCAAGTCAACATGATAGTTATTGCTGTTAGATTAGGACAATCTTGTATGACATGCCCTTAAATAGCTAAACGATGAGACCAAGAAAAGGTGTTTTACTATGAGAAACATTACAACATCTGTAAAAGTCAATATTTGATTTTTTATTTTGTTCTTTTTAGATCTGAAGCTAATCATTGTTTTGTTAAATGTTTGATTAAATGTCTGTGAAATAAACAATTAGCGCCATCTGATAGTTTTGCCCATATGCATGTTAAACTAACATCCAAGAACTAGAAAACGTGGACTTTCTTGCTAGTCTCACGTGAGAGTATGTGAATAGGAATACACTTTACGATTTTTATGTACTTTTTTATGTTGTTGAAGTTAACACGTTCATAATGAATCCGTTCCTGTAGAATGTGGTTATTAAAGAACTCTGTTGTGTTTTATTTGTTGTTCTCCACAGTTCATGCACTCGTAGCTTCGAACATATTTTCTCCGTAGAAATCCTAAGTCTTAATTTTTTTATCGCTGCTGAATCTTGATTTGACGAGTAATGCTGCATTTTGAATCTCTTACTTTATCTACTTACGAAATGGAATTTTTTAGCCTGTGTACACATCTAACATCCCGTGCTCTGCAGATTATCCTGACACAGGAAAAGAACATCCATAGGCTGAACGAGGCTGTACTGAATCTCAAGGAACAGCTCAAAAAATGTGTTTGCTATAACGTGACATCAAAAAACACTCTCAACTCGTTGGCCGAAAATGTTATTGGGCTCGAAGAAGAGCAGATTGTGGATGAGTTCGACCAGCAGGAAGAAATTCCAGTGGACTAGAAATGACCTTTTTCCCCCTC